GGCACCCAGAACCATGTTTGGCATACAGCAGATTTCTATAAATGTTTGAATGAATAAATACTGCCAGGGGGCTGGGGATTTAGCTCAGTTGCACAGCGTGAGGTTGTGAGTTCGATTCCCAGTACCGGAAAAAAAAAAACTAAAAAAGAAAAAAAAAAAAAATACTGCCAGAGTTTTGTCTTAACCACCAAGTTTCTTACCCAGTCCACTTCCTGACCCTCAACACTTTCACATTCCTTCATCCTCAGTTCCTCCCTACCATGCTGGGATGACAGCTCCTTATGTGATCATTTCTGCCCTAAAGCCAGCCCTGCCCTACTGTGACACCTAGTTTGGGCAAGTGTTAGAACATAATTGGGGCCAGCTCCTAGAAGGATACAGTGGATCAGGATGGGCTTAAATATCAGGCCTCTTATTTGCTTTCTATTGTTCCCTCTTTTCCTTAATAATGTCCTTGTGGATCTTTATTCTCTTTCTACTACTTTAAAAAAAACTCTATATTAGATTATTTTATTTTGAGGGGCATGACTTAGTGGTTCAAAACTCATATAAGATATTCCGGATCTTTTTCCAAGATTGTATTTTGAATTTTTTTCTAGTCAGATAAAATACTTAAGAGCCAAAGAACTGACATTTACTAACAGAAAGGTAAAGTCAACTGAAGGGCACATTAACAAACAACCTGCAAAGTTCTTGGCTATCAAACAGTCTTTACTGATAACAAGAAAGCACCCTTAGTTCACCCGATGTTAAGACAGAAATAATTATTTCCCATCCTTTTAATAACCTCTAAGCCTAAAACACCTTCTCTTTGAATGTCAATACTGTAAATTTATGAAATTCTCTTATCATTACCCTTATCATTGATAATAATTGTACCGTAAGAGGACAGAAACCAGGTCTACTTAGCATAAAATCTGGCAGAATTTGAAGAAATAAATCTATTTGAAAAAATGCTGATAAGCAAAATTTAATCAGTATAAATTATTAACACTACCTATCGGTTCAAAATTACTAGAACATTTATAAAAATAAGATCTCAACATTCACTGTCTTAGTGATACTGATTATTACAGAGAAAAATAACTATTTATCTCACAGCAAAATTTTTCTGCATTACCCTAGCACAAGTTTCCTTTCCATTTACAAGACTTGGGTATTTATAATTTAGCTTGGGTATTTATAATTTAGCTAATAATTTATTTTAACTGAGCAAGATACAACATGAAATTTTAAGGAATAACTTTTTTCAAGGGTGCTGGGGATCAATCCTAAGGCCTCACTAATGGTAGGCAAGTGCTGAACCACTAAGCTACATTCCTAGTGCCAAATTTTTTAAATTCAATAGTAAAATTTCAAATTTACAGCCAAGTTTCCATGATGGGGTATAGTGTCTCACAAAGAAAAAAAAATTTGGTTTGTTTTTTTTTTTTGTCCCTCCCCACGATTTAGAAAAAGTGATCAAAGATATTGATAAAGAAGACAACCAAGCCAAATATTTTAATTCTGAGATTCCTATTCTCTCCCTACACAAAAGGATCCCTCCATATTCCAACCCTAAAAGGGATTATCTTATTACATAATTTTTAAAAGATTCCACTGATAGCGCAGTTTTTACTGTAATATGTACAAATCATACACTCAACAAATATTTCAGGTACCTCCTGAGCTGCAAGAAATTTCTTTGAAGACAGAAGCAGACTGAATTCCAAAGAAAACACTGAAGACAAAAATAAGGCAGAATTAGTCTTTTAAATTGTTGAGGTTTAGTTGAAAGAATATCATTTCGTTTATTCTAGGTTTTTTTCTTTGCTTTGGAAGAGACTAGTGTAAGATATTAAAACATGAGTGCACACACACACAAGAGCACACACACACACCCCACACAAAAATCAACACCAATGTTAGAAGCCTGAAAAAAAATTTTTTTTGAGATATGGTCTCACTATGCAGTTTAGGCTGGCCTTGAGCTCACTTTGTAGCCCAGGCTGATCTCGAACTCGCAAGGATCCTCCTGCCTCAGCCTCCCAAATGCTGGGATTACAGGCATGTGCCACCACACCCGGCTCTGAGAATGTTTTTAAAATATTTATCTGCAAAATTTCGTAATATAAAAACAGATCATAAAACCCAAATATACATGTTTCTGTAGACAGTTCAGCACACCACATGTGTGTTTTTAAAAGTTGCAACAGGTTGGAAATGTTCAGAATGTTCCAGTATGGGGTGCAAAAGCAACTATATGCCAATGTACAGTCACTGATGATTATGAATAAGCTCAGTAAATGAGTGACCTATAACCAATAAAGCATGGCATACATTTTCCTTACATTTATAATCATCATAATACTTTGGCACAATTATCACTTAGAAAAAACACCAAAAGAAATCTGCCAGGAACGGGGATATAGCTCAGCAGCACAGCGCCTATATAGCAATCACGAGGTCCCGAGTTAAATTCCTGAACCAAAAAAAATCTGCCAGAAGAAAAAGGTAAAAGCATATTGTAGTATGTATTTGGTAAATTTTCAGTTTAACCTGAACAAATTGATTTGTGAGTATAACAATTAAAATAAAATTTAAAAGTCATATTCAACCCTATCAATAAACACAGTACCATGAGCAAAATCTATTTAGCATGTTATCCACACTGATCATATTGATTTGATAATACTATCGTTTTAAACAGTCAAGTAGTTAAAAAAAAACTCAAACTATTGTCTCTGTAAACAGAAATTCAACAATGTTAATACAGTAAATTCTACAAGACTGTCTTACTCTCAATATTTGTCACAATGTGGTATCAGTTTCAAAATAAGTTCAGAATCCCTTGTAACTAACTACACAACATGTCCAGTAGTAAATGTATTAAATATAAATGCTTCCTGACTAATTGATACCATAAAGGAGCTCTGTAGACAAGCAGTTTAGGAATGTGGGAAGTTGATCAGCACTGCACAATAAAAGCTACTAGTTGATAATGTTAATACAAGACAAAGCCTTTTGCTCCTAGCGTTTCTTGGTATAAGCGCTCTCTGATTACAAAAATTACCTTCTTCAGAGAAGAAAATACGGTTGTATGCTGATACATTTAGAAGCATTACAAGAATATATCTTGACACCTGCTAAGGTGACTATCATTCTGACTGTGATAATGTGGCAAAGATCTGCTGCACATACTCTGAAACTTCAAGACTGTTTTCAGCAGTAACTAAAGGTTTGATTTCAAAGAGAAAGACAGAAACGAGTGTTTTCAAAGGGGAGCATCTCTGCGTTGTGGGAAGTTTGTAGCTGATACAAAACCAGCACTTTTAAGTTAAAAGCGAAAACGATTTTTGATTCAGTAAGAGCTCTAGGCACTTATGGACCCACGTTTCTCTCTCATTTTTTCGCTACACAATATACTGTATGAAGCAGATGTTTCCAGAGATAAATTTTCTAAACGGTACCGACAAAACAAAAAGGTCCACAAACTCCCAGAGGCGCTGGGCTGTAGAATAACCTAATTAAATAAGCAACATCCTCAACAATGTCACATCAACAAAACACACTGTAAGGAAAGTAGCTGGATCAGAATGTCAAAGCCTTCGGGACTTTCGGGTGAGGATCTGCGGGGTTGGGGAGGTGGGCCCGGAGACGACCAGGCAGAAGAGAATTAAAAATTTGTTCTCTCGCCCGGTGACACCTCTGACGACAGGGGCCAGAGATGGGGTGGGCAGGCGCCCCAGCGCCCCCGCTGGGCAGGTTCTCAGGCAGGGGGCTGTCACCGGAGCCACAGGCGTCAGCGACAGGAGCGGGGACCTAAACCCCCGCGGAGGCACCGGCAGGCGCGGCAGCGCGCACCGCGCTCGCGTCGCAGACCCCGTCGCCCTCGCCGCCGAGCGCTTACCTACCGGACCCGAGGCGCCTCGGGAACCGTGCCCCGCCGGGCGGGGAGGACGGGCCAGCGGGGCTCCCGGCGGCCAGGAAGGAGGCCAGCCCAGCCCTCAGCCCCCAGCTCACTCACGGGCCCGGCGCTGCCGGGTTCCGCCGTCAGCAGACCCCGGAGCCGCTTCTGCTCGCCGAGAATTTGAAGGCAAACCCGCCACGGCCACTTCCGGTGCCAGGACCAGCCTCGCCGACGCCGGCACACGCGGGGCGACGCCCCAGGAGCGAGGACGCCGGGCGACGTGCCTGCGCCGGGGCGGGAACGCAGGGGGCGTGGCCAGCCGGGGCGCGCCTGCGCAGTCCGCGCCACTCGAGGAGCTGGTGGCCACTGTAAAAAGGGAGGCAGATAAAGATCTTAACTAGTACTACCGCGCCTACTTGTGCACCTGTGTCGACCACTTGACCACTTTTCCTCCCCTTTGGTTTTCACCAGACTCCTCAGAGGTTACGGTGAGAATGTCTATTTTACAGTGAGTTTCAAGGGTCAGGCAATTCATTTATGACAAATCCTGCTTTAGAATTTAAGAGTCAGAATTCCAAGGCTGTGGCCCGACAGGGCAGAGCAGGAATAAAGGAAAGGATAAATACAGAGCCTAAGATATGGTGCTGTTGGCAAGTTAGTTTCTTTCCTCCCTTCCTCCCCTCCCTCCCTCAAACTCAAGATCCTTCTGACTCAGTCTTCCAAGTGCTAAGATTACAGGAGAGGACCATCAGGCCTAGCTCGGAATGTTATTTTCTTGTCACCGTTTTTTTTTTTTTTTTTTTTTTTTTTTGAAATTGGTTTCCCTAAGTAGTTCAGGCTGGCTTTGAACTCCTATGTGTAGCCCAAGGTGATATGGAACTCACAGCGATCCTCCTGCCTCAGCCTCCTGATTGCTGGGAGTACAGGCATGCACCACTATATTCAGCTGTCACTGTTCTAATATAACCAGGCAACAAATAAAATTGATATTTCACAATTTATACATATGTACTGGACAGTGCTGTTGGCTTTGCTCCCCGCCAGTCTCAGTCTCCATCTGCTACCACGACCACCCCACCCGACCCCCCTATGGACTAGAGGCATTTACGACACATTTTTCTGTAGGAATACATCTACACTAAATTTCTAACATTAAGGCATCGCTGTCAGGTAATATGCAATTGTATAAAAATACTTCGGGAGCCAGGCATGGTGGTGCACGCCTGTAATCCCAGCACTCTGGAAGATCGCTGCAAGTTGGAGGCCAGCCTGAACTACATAGTGCAACCTTGTCTCAAAAGAAGAACAAAACAAAAAAAAACAGCAGTTCAGGGGAGATAATTCCATTCAGTTAAGGTAGCTACTGTGTGCTAAAAAGTGTTTGACACTGAGTACACAATGCTTGGTAAATGTTTCCTGGGGCCCACCTAAAATAGGAAGCAATTGTTTCACCACAGTGGATATGAACTTTATTGTAGTGGAGCACAGAAAACTGTAATCCAGTTTAAGGAGGTTTAGATTAATTACCCTAATTAGGAGAATTCATTTTTCTATGAGTACTAGTTTACAGTTTAAGAAAACTCAAAGGACACAAAATGAACACATGGTATTGTTGCTGTAAAGAAATAAAACTTCTAAAATAAGAAAATCACTTGCTCGAAGCCAACAGGAGTGACCGTGCCCAGGGAACACAAATTCAACAACATGAGATCCCAAAGGAAAATGGTTTTGTCTGGCATGGTAACACACACCTGTACACCAGCGCTCAGGAGGTTGAGGCAGGAGGATCGCTGTGAGTTTGAGGCCAGCTGGGGTTACATACTGAGTTCGAGGCCAGTCTGAAGTACATAGCAAGACTCTATCTCAAAACAACCACTAAGTAAATAAATAGACAAATAAGCATGATTTTATCCTGAGGAGATTATGCAAGCCCACACTACAAAAAGGTGGGGAAATCTTTCACGAGACTCAGCTATTGCCTGGTGTGATGCCACAAGCTTGTAATGACAGCACTTTGGGAAGCTTTGAGGAAGGAGGATCTTCGAGTTCAAGACCAGACTGGACGATAGCAAGACCCAGTCTCTACATAAGTAAATAAAGGATTCAAATATTAGGTTCAATAAGGCAAGGAAATAAAGGGCTCGGATGCTGTTTTTAATAAGGCAAGGAAACTGCCTATAGGATTCAGGGGCTGTCTCATTCACAGACAATGTTCAATAGAGATGAGAGATTCATCTGGCCTAACATAACATGTTAAGATTTTATCAAGCGCTAATTGCAGTGACACAAATCTGTAATCCAGCTACTTGGAAGGCTTAGAGGAGGATCACAAATTCAAGGCCAATTTAGGAGACCTTCTCTCAGAAAGGGCTGGGGGTGTACCTCAGTGGTAAAGCACCACTGGGTTCGACCCCCAGTACCAGGAAAAAAAGATTTTATGCATTAATCATACAAAATACTAAATTAGACACAGAGGCTGATAATGAATTGCTTTCAAAGGGGCTTAAAATAGCCCAATACAATTTAGGATTCTTAATTTACAAGACTTCATCTCTCCACAAGGTCATAATGTTCCAATTAGCAAACTTTAAACAAACTGGGAGCTCTTGACAGCTGGCCTCTCTGACCAAACTTCAGTAACAGTATGATTCCATTTATAGGAAATTCTGAAGCAAATCTGTAGTAAAGCCTGACTAATGGAAGCCTGAGGCTACATTCAGGTGAGGGAGAGGAAATTGGAAAGAGGCAACTGGAAGAGTTTTTGAAGTGATGGGAAGAAAATGTTCTACAGAGAAAGTAGTTACATGGGTATATACACTTACCAAAACCCATCAAACAGTATGCATAAGGCAGATGCATTTTATTGTATGTAGATTTTTCATGGTTTTTTGAGACAGGGTCCTATATAGTTCAGGTTGGCCTCTCTCTTGTGGCAGTGCTCCTACCTCAGCCTCCTGAGTGCTGGGATTAGAGGCGTGCAGCTCTACACCTGGTTTGTATATAAATTTTACGATGAAGTCTTTGTGTGTTTGTTTTGTGGGTTTTGTTTGGTGTTGAGGGGTTTTTTCTTTCCTTTTTTTGGTCTTGTTTTTTTTTGTTGTTGTTGTGTTGTTGTTTTTTTTGTTTTTTTTTTTGAGTCAGTCTTGCTGTGTAATTCAGACTGCCTTTGAATCACTACATAGCCCAAGCTAGCCTTGAACTCGTTGCAGGCATACTGCTTCAGCCTCCCAAGTGCTAGGATTACAGGTGTGCACTATCATGCCTGCCTCTGAAGATTTTTAAGTAGAAAGACAAACCTCCAAAAAGTGACTTATATTCACTACTTCCATTCCTTTACTAGTTGCACTAGTCAAGGACAAGTAGTAGTGTAATAACACCTAAATCACAGTCTTCAAGCAACAGTTTTGTGTAATCTACTCTGTTCTCTTGTTTTCGCAGTGCATATAAAGTAAGCACTTTACCACTTAGCTACACACCCAGAACTTCTTATCTACTCCGTGTTCACAGCTGAGTAGATGCAGGCACTGGGATATCTGACAGTGCAAAAAAGAAAAGGAGATAGATTGTGAAGCTTCTGCCTGGTTATGATATGCCCGTCAATTCTGCTCACATTTCATTGGCCAAAGGAAGTCATGTGATCAACCCAATTTCAAAGGGATGGGGAGGTACAACTCTACAGTGTTCTCTGGAGAAACAATATTTGTGTACCACTCTCAAGGTAACTACACTAGTCATTTGTTCTTTTACAGTGTGGCTTGTAGGTCCACCACCTTTCTAACAGGATTGTGGCCGGGTGTGGCGGCACATGCCTGTAATCCCAGCACTCAGGAGACAGAGGCAGGAGGATCGTTGCAAGTTCAAGACCAGCCTGGGCTACAAAGTGAGCTCAAGGCCAGCCTGAAGTGCATAGCTAGACCCTTTCTCAAAAAGACAAAATGATGATGATAATAATAATAATAACAAAAACAATAATAAAAGGATTATGTCCAAACTGAGCCTTTGAAAAGCCAAGGTTATATTTTCCTGTTGAATAGACAGATCATTTTGGCAAGATTTTAGGACATATGAAGAGAAGTTAATGGGAAAAGAGACAGCAAGGTAGATGCCAGCTAAAGAGTTTAAACTTTAGGGGCTGGGGATTTAGCTCAGCGGCACAGCACCTGCGTGGCAAGCGCAAGGTTGTGAGTTCGAGTCCTGGATTCAATAGGCAAAAAAAGGAACCATTAAAATTTTTCAGATGAAGGTTATAAGTTATATAGCAAGTCAAAGAATTAATTTGACAGATAAGAGTAGGAAGGTTTAGAGGGGAGAGAAAGTAGGTTGGGACACTGTTGCAAGAGGTGTGATCCCTGGAATTACACAGAACCGAAATGGCCATGAAGACCACCTCCCAGTATTATATATGTGTGTACTGTCTCTTGTCCTAGTTGACAAACTCAATTAAATCACATACTTTGTGCTTTTGACTGCAGCAATGTCTAGTGTATTATACTAATTAATGTTTATAGAGTAAAATCATTTATAAATTAGATATACCATGTCAGAGAAATCTAAAAGGTCTTTATTAACTTTACTTACTTGGCTGATACATCTGGAACATTTTCTCCAGATACTTACAAATTTGGCCACATCTTGGGATACAGAGTATATATATATATATAAGCCAAACTTTAAAATGAATAAGATTGGGGCCAGGGATATAGGTCAGTGGTACAAGCACCTGCCTGGCAAGTGCAAGGTCCTGAGTTCGATTTCCGGAATGAAAAAAAAAAAAAAAAAAAAAAAAGAGGCTTTAAAATGAATAAGATTGCTGAATTTTTAGATTTTGTTATACAGTATAATTGCACTTCTGGCTGTTCTTGTTGTCTATATTTTTATGATAAGTTAGTAGAAGTTCAATATTCATTTCAATGTTCAGCTTTTTCTTTTTGCTTACTGAAATGAGTTCTTTTAAAAATTTTTGTTATTACATATTTGTAATACATAGCCAGGCATGGTGGCGCATGCCTGTAATCTTATCACTTGAGAGGCTGAGGCAGGAGGATCATCATATCATGAGTTCAAGGCCAACCTGGGCTACATAGTGAGTTAAAGGCCACCCTGAACCACAAAGTGAGACCCTGTCTCAAAAAAATTGTAGTACATAATGGTTACATTCATCATGGGAAGCTGGTACATGCACCTAACACATCTTAATTATTTTTAGTTCCCCTCTTCTATTTTATTTCTTCTTTTAAGATTTTCTCTTTAAAATATTAGTTCCTCATAGGCAATTTGCCTATAGATTTAAGATCAACTCTATAGTACAACAGAAGTTGTCTTGTTTAATCTACTCTGTCCTTTTGTTTTTGCAGTGCATATAAAGCAAGCACTTTACCACTCAGCTACACACCCAGCACTTCTTATCTACTCCGTGTTCACAGTTGAGTACAACCTATGTTATACTATGGATTCTACACAAATGGACACCAGGACATTTTTAGATTGGAAGTGATTTATCACAGCAAACTCTTATGAGGGTAAATGGAGAGGTTGCAGGAAGTGGGGCTTTATATCCTAAATGCAGATTTGAAGCCCAGGAAGGAGAGAAGGAAGGTTGGGCAGCAAAAGCTTTAGACTGCAGTGCTGTTCTAAAGAACATTTTGCCAGGCAGATGGGGAGCAGTGCAGTCAGAGCTCCCCATCAGTGGCATCTTGGAGGAATGGGACTACCTTTATCCCTGCCAAGCCAGCCACTGGCTGGGAGTAAGTGAAGCCCAGACACAAATGTAGTGGTGAATTCAGAGTCCAGGAGCTGGGCCCTCGCTTATACTTCTCCCAGTAGATTTGAGAAGCTCACTTTCATGGTTGCCATCTTTTCTCTCTGTTGTGGACTTCTGGAGTTGTTTGAATCTATAAATTCATGGCTTTCTCTAAATTTGGTAAATTTGGGGTCAATATTTTCCAATTTTTTTCTGTCCCACTACCTACTAAGGGGAGAGGTATACCAATTATGTATATGAGAAATCTCTAGTATTTTGTTTTGCTTTTTTTTTTTTTTGGCAGTGCTGGGGGTCAAACTCAGAGCCTCATCCGTGCTGCTGTGGTAGATCTGAAGTGTCCCCCAAAAGCTCCTGTTTGAAAATGATTGGATCATGGAGGCGCTATCGTCATCAGTGGATCAGTCCACCAATGAGTTCTTTTAGGAGAGAGGGGCTGATTAGAAGCAGGCCACTGGGAGTGGGACCTAGTATCTCCCTCCTGCGCTGGGCCTCTGCTTTCTCTCTGCTTCCTGGCTGCTCCGGGTTGAGCATCTTCGTCTGCCATGCCTCTCTGACTTCCTCTTCCTGCCTTGGAGCCAGCCAAACACAGAATGTAGTATGAGCCAAAATACACCTTTCCTAGTTAAAGTCGTGGGTGTTAGGTATTTTGTCCTAGTAGGAAAGTGATTAAGACACATGCTAAGCATGTGTTCTACCGCATAACTATGCCGTTGTCCCCTAGGATGATCTGCAGATTTAGTTTTCCTCCTGTCATCTCTGTTCAATTGTTTGTTCGTTTAATTTTGCAGTGGTGGTAATTAATCCAAGGCCTTCCCACTGAGCTACATCCCCAGCCTTTTCAAAGTATTTTCAGGGACTGGGGATGTAGCTCAGTGGCACAGCGCCTGCCTGGCAAGCACAAGGTCGTGGGTTTGATTCCTGGTACTGGAAGAAAAAACAAACAAACAAGAAAGTATTTTCAAAATTGTGAGAGAGAGTCTTACTAAGTTGCTAAGTTGTCTAGGCTGGGTTCAAACTTGGGATCCTCTTGCCTTGGCCTCCCAGAGTGCTGGAGGACAGGTGTGTGCCACTGTGCTTGGCTTCATCTCCACTCTTCTGCATCACGTTATGTATCTAAATTTCCTTTTTTTGGTCTGGGTGTGGTGGTGCATGCCTGTAATCTCATCACTCAGGAGGCTAAAACAGGAAGATCATTGTGAGTTTGAGACCAGCCTGGGCTACAAAGTGAGCTCAAGGCCAGCCTGAACTGCATAGTGAGACCCTGTCTCAAAAAGGCCAATAAATAAATAAATAAATTTCCCTTTTTTTTTTTGCTGTTTAGTGCTGAGGTTCCATGGAATCCACAGCCATGCACACGGTAGGCAAGAACTCTACAACTACATCCCCAGCCTAGTTATTTCTTAGAGTCCAATTTCTTTGCTGGGGTTTCCTATCTTTACATTTAAGAATATTTTTCTTAGTCTGAGGATGTGGCTATGTGGTACTGTATTTTCCTCATGTATGCAAGGCCTTAGGTTTTCGACTCTAGCTAAACAAAAAAAATTTGCATTACTGTGCGTAGTTGCAGGAGCCGTGGTACCCTCCCTTCCTGCCAACTCCAAATGTTAGAAATAGGATCTGGGCATCTACATCCTCTTACTGGTTTTTTTCTCAATAGCCATTTTATATTTCTTCATTATGTCAAGTAATTTTGGGTTGTTCCCTGGGATTAGAAGTGGTATACTGTAGATACTGTGGATTCTGTGACAGTCTTTCGAGGTATTTTAGTTAAGCAAGTTATTGATTTGGTTTGGCATTTTTTCTCTTGCGCAGTACCTAAAATGTCATTTCAGTTCTTTAATTCTTAGGTAAGATGTTTGGAGTCTCCCTGCATGGGTGTAGTTCAGGGTTCAGCCCGAGTTAGGCCTTTTTCAGACAAGATGTCATGAAAGGGGGGTACTCATCACATGCCATTGTTTTTTTCCAGGGACTTCACTCCAGAATCTGTCTGGTCTTGCTTCCACTCCAGGATCTTTAAGTAGTTTTTTTTAATTGTCCATAGAGTTTGAGTTATATTTATAGAATAAATCTATTAAGAGCTGACTTGTTCATCATACTAGAAGCATAATCTAGAGCACCACTGCCAAAAAAATTGCAAATCAGGCTATACACTAACATGAACTGTACACTGTATTAGACTTGCCAGCAGTAACAAGTGGGAGTTGTATTTTTTTCCTCCAACATTCTGCAGGTGACCAGTTTGGAATTAACCCTATCTCATTGCTTCTCAGGTAACCAGGTTTATTTATTTTGTTAATCTACTATCACTATGGTATTTTCCTACTTTTTATGGTCAAAATTAAGTCACCACCATGTCTGCATTCCATCCTGTAGGAAGAAGGAAATAGCAAATAGCATAGTTTCAAATTAAAGTGCAGGTAGAATTTGCACATACTGTGTCTGTTTGGCCCAGTGATGTTCACATGGCCACACCAAATGACCAGGGATTCTGAGAGACATGGACACTAGTGTGGCAGTCAAACCTTGGAGGATGGCGACTCTATTAGTAAAGGAAAAAATGGCATAATGGATACTATTCAAGAACAGCCCCTGTGATTATTCAGCCTCTCTGAGAAGTAGGTACACGAGAACCTTGTGTTTCCTAGAGTAAACTTATTCCCTAAGGGAAACCACCCAAAATGCCACCCAGATTCTGAATCTAGCAAAATGTTCAGGATGTCTGGTTAGCTATCACTGAAAGGAATAAGGAAAGACTGCCTACTGGACAGTTGCTGTTTGTGCTTCAAGTAGATATTTGGCAACCTCTGTCCACATATACGTAGATGTATGTGTTGGGGGGTGGCACAGCAAAGTGTAGCTGAAATACCAAATATAGGTCCACAGGAATACTGTAGTTTGTGTCAGCTACACAAAAGTCTCTTGTAGACAAAGATAAATTTACAAGGGGATACAAATGAGAATAAAAGATAAAAATGATGGTAAACTGGGTGTGGTGCCACACATCTGTAATCCCAGCAGAGGCTGAGACAGGAGGATTGCTGCGAGTTCAAGGCTATACATACCTAAATAGTGGGTTCAGGGCCAGCATAGATTACATAGCAAGACCCTGACTCAAAGCACCCCAAAAAATAAATAAATAAAAAATGATAGTAATGCTTGGGAAAATGAAGTATTCATTCATGTAAAGCTGATTTAAAATAAAACTTTATCTTATTAACATTTCATGTGACTAAAGAATTGTAAATAAAGGAAAATTTAACCAATAACTTCATATTTTAAAAACTTGAAAATGTATCCAAATGATGCTAAATGTAGTTTAATAATGAAAAATTTTTAAAACAAAAATCTGAAGAAAGCTTATAACTCAGAAATATTTATCAGGGTCAGGGATATAGCTCAGCGGCACAGCACCTACCTACTGAGCACAAGGTCCTGAGTTCAATTCCCAGTATCCCCCACAGAAAAGTTTAGCATACTTAGAAGAGATGAAAACATTTTACTGGGTTACACTATATTCAGTTTGCCCTAATCTAACTAGGTAGTATCATTTGTTACATATATTTTAACTCCAAAGTATCAAATTTTTAGTCATAAACTTTAAGAATCAAAAGATTAAAATAAAATTTTGAAATAAAAAATCAACATACTTAAGCAACTTAAATATCAGCTTTCCACACATAATTGAAAGATTTAAATTTTGCTTTTTTTTATTATTCCAGCAAACATTACACTAGAGGAAATGATTGGGAAAATACAAATAGATTCATTAAAAACAGGCTGATTATTCATTCTGTTACATTCAGAAGTATGCAAAACAATTTAGTTATTGCAAAGCTGTAATTCCTTGTCTATCAAAGCATTATTTTATAAAACTGTAGTGTTGCTATTGATTCCACTTTCATACAAAATACTTATATACACAATACAATATAAAAGTAAACTGTATAGTGCCTTCCACAAAGGGATATATTATGGCGCTTTACAAATATACCAATTTGTTGACCCAAATTATTTTTGCTTTAGTTTAAAAGAAACAGACTAAATGTTTCACTTTAAATACCAAAGGGATTTTTGTTTATTAAAGAAAATTTCTAAAGTACCTTAGGTAACAGCAGCAGCAATATCTAAAAATCCTCCCACTGTATTCTCTAATTTCCAACATATTAAGTCAGAATAAAACATTTCCACTCACAGTTTTGCACTTTGCAACAGTAGAAGGTAATAACTTTTTAAAAAAGTCAATCTCAAAGTGACTTTTTAGTCATACATTCTATAGTTTCTATTACAAATAAGAAAGTAGAAAACATACAGCAATAAGGCCTGCCTTAGATACTACTGGACAATACATAACAGTTATCTACAGTTACACAATTATAGGACATAGTTTATAAATACTATTGATATGCATAAAAGGGGTAAGCGTAAGAAAGACAGCAAGATTTTTAATGAGAAAATCACTTTAAAATGAGAAATGTAGAACCAATGTTTTCACTCAATTTTAATTGAGGGCAATCAGATTTTTTTAATCTGATTGCCTAATTTAATGTTGTTGCTGTCTCGTGGTCAGGAAGTAGCAGGATCTACACTGGAAGAACTGGATATAGAGAATTACTACAGCTAATAAGTATATCCAAACTATTTAAACTGCATATTCCAATGGCTTGTATACTGCTTCAGACAAAGACAAAAACTTAAACTGTTGGAGGAAACTTTAAAAGAACATGAAATTTATAGTGTCATATTTCAAGAACAGCAGCAGTACAGATTTTGTTGGGAGAGGAGAGAAGAGGGAGGATACAGCACCTTAGTTTTCCTACAATGTAAATGTAACAAACTTAGTTTTCTACTGTATTGCACCATAGTCCAGAAGTAGAACTATTAAATGAAAATTTAAGTAAATCTGACGGAAAAGCTTAAAGAAGGAGGGTATCTTATAAATGTGAGTACCAAGCTAAAAATTCTTGAACTAACTAGTTTGTTTTGCATAGAGTAGGATCAATCAAATGTTCCATGAAGTAAAGACTGCTATTATTTCCTCAAAATTCTCTGATTGGAAATCCTTCAGAAATATTGTTGTATCAATCCTATAATAAGCCAAACATTTCAGTGCCCTCAAAATGGTATGTTTAAAGCATCTTAGTTTTGCACCAGCATCCATAGGGTCATCTTATCACATGCTACAGAGGTCTCCCATCACAAATTATCAGTATTTATACAAGATGTACTAATTAAGATGTACTAATTATCTTGTATTTATATAAGATGTACTGATCAGCAAATTAAAAGCAAAGTTTTCAGTTTAATATATCAACTTTCTTATCGAACAGAGGTCTTTAACCTAGTCATTGACAGGTTTCATAAGATCCAGAATTTCCTGAAACTGTATGCAGTATCTTATGTGTGTTTTCATGTGTCTTTTTTCTGGGAAGTAGAGCCCACCACCTTTATCAGATTCACAAAAGCATCAGTGACCCTAAAGGCCCACATTACATGGTAGTGGTCTGCAGGCTGAGCTTCTAAGAGGGCCACCTATATACACAAGGTGGCAAATGTGAACTAATAAATGCTTTTCCCCCCCAGTTCAATTGGAACAGCTTTGCCTTTAATTTTACTACCTGGTTTCCATTAGCTTTTATATGAAACAAGCTAAAAGTTTTAAAAAGTCACTTAAATTAGTCCTCTTATCCACAAACATTTTACATTAAAAAAAAAAAAGACCATTATCAGTGAAGCTTAAGAAAAGTAAATAAAATAGAAACTAGTTTACTAAGGTCAGAATAGAGCTCAGTTCTCCTTCCGAAGATACATATTTTGGTATGAAACCACAATTATCCTTAAGAATTTAAGCATTATATAAATAGGCATGTTGAAAAACATAATTAACCTTAAATAAGTTAGCTAAGACCACTATGTAACTTTTCCTAATTACTAATGGCCATCTGAATTAAGAGTTAATTATTTTTTTCACCAACTAATCGGCCCTTAGAAATAATACTATATTACCAAACAGCTATATTTCCTTTGCCAATAGCAATCTGTATACACAACACTGTTATGAAAGAGGTTCTACAGCACTGATGATTGAGTCACTATATAGGAAAAACTACTTTTTCTTTTTTTGAGGCGCTGGAAACTGAACCTAGGGCCTGGTACATACTAGGCAAGTGCTCTAAGCTACATCCTTGCAGGTTCCCCCACCCGGGGGGGAGAGGGGGAGTTAGTGATGAAAATCAACAAATAATCCTAATCAAAGTTTTATATAAACTGAAAATAATTTCTTGGCTTACAATGGTAGAAAAACATTGTAATTTCAAAGGAAAACTATAAAAGACCTTAGCTTTTAGTATTTAGGATTTTTGATTTATGGCAACTTTGTTCCCTTTTAAAACTGGAAGCAGCATTAATACCAAAATAGAAAGAAAATTAGTAGTGCTTTGGCTTCTTATAAAGCCAGTATATTTTTTAATTTTTATTTTTTAAAAAGCTAGAAGAGAAAAGCTAGAAGACTAAGTATTCCTCACAGGAGGGGAGAAAAGATAAACTGCACTATTTTTCCTTCTGATGAACATACTGTACCCTGTATTTCTTAGTTCCAAGATATGACTTATACAAATTATCATTAACCTAGGAACGCTCTGCAAAATGATGGCTTAATTTCTCTAGCTTATTTATTTTGTATGAAAAACAAGATTGGGGAGGAGGGGAAAAGAGCTCTGTAAATATGGGCATGTTTCATATTTGGTTAAAGCAAGATAAAACTAAAACTGTCTTTCAAAAAATTTCAAAAACTCTTGAGTTTTAAAATTATTTCGCATATATACAAATAGATAACAGGCTTCTCCTTTTAAACAAAGCACTATTTTTTATTTTAAGTACTTTAAGTACCAGGAACTGACTAATATTCAGTTCATAACTTATGTATAACAATTTTTTAAAAGGTTGGAATAAATTAATATTTTAAAAGGATATCCTATAATTTAGGAAAATAAAATATTGTACACAGAGCACACATACATAGCTCTGCCGCAGTTGCATAATTTTACTCAGAATTTCAAAAAACCCAGTATTTCAGGCCTTTTTGTAAATTCTCATTATGATTATTTTCTAGTGTGTTAAACATATACTAGATCACGATTTTTTATCTCTGTGCCTTTATGTTGATCATCTTCATCTGAATGTTGTTCTGAGCCTTGTGAATTCATGTGTTCATACTCAATAGGCTTTGGATAATTATATGGGTAGCCATTGTCATCAAAGAACCGCCGAAAGGTAAATTCATAGAAGGCGTGTTCAGGGTGCTTTCCGTTTTTATACCATCCATTGAGAGTGTCGTTTACATTTTCTTCCTCATCGTCACTCCATAACTTGTCAGGGTCAACAGGATCAAAATTTGATGTATCTGTTGGGTGTGTGATTTTAGGAATATATGATGCAGACTGCTGTCTCAGATCACTGGAGAAATCGATTGTTTTAAAAAATGGATGGGCTTTTATTTCATCAGCACCATTCTTGCCTAAGCGATCTTCTGGTCCTCGGCAGAGTTTAATAATCAGATCCGAAGCTTCAGGACTCAGTTTAGCTTGTGGTGGAATGTGAAGAGATGTCTGCCAGTTGATAACCTTTAAAGAAAATTAATAAAAATTAGGAAGAGATGAACAAAACTTTCTTCCAACTTTTATAAAAAAAGTATAATTGGACAATTTGTTTTTTTAAATAAACTCTGGTTATTTCACCATCCCTGCATTTAATAATGAATCACTGCCAGAAAATAACCTTCTATCCTATCCCCTCCTCTCTGGGCAATTTAAACTCACACTGCAAGTCTCATAAATTTTTATAACCTCTATTAAGCCCTGCTGGTAAAATGGCTATTTCATGCTACCTTGCCTACACTATGAATTTACTTCTACCATATTTCTAGTATTTTGTGGTCGCTATTTATGTCTCTATCCTTCTAATGAAGTTAAAATTCCATACGGGTTAGGACAGGGCCTTGTTAGGTTGCTCAGCTGACCTTGAACTTGCTATCCTTCTGCCTCAGCCCCTCTAATGCTGGAATTACAACCATGTACCACCCACCCCACAGGAAACTATGCTTTAATTGTGTTTGTATTTCCTAATACTTGCCTGACACTTAATAGATGTTAAATCTCCGTTCTGGTTTTGAGTAAAGCACAATCAAGGAGAAAGAATGTCAAGAGAACTGCCAAAGGCAGAAGGAATGGTATACTCTGAATACAATGCTTAAAGGTTTTGGATAAACCCCGATAAATGGCAAAATGCACAGTTATTTTACCTAGATAAGACATTTTCTAGGAAATCAATAAATATCAAATAAATGAATAAACAAACCCTTTCGTCTTTACTCACATAGCAGCCAAACAACTATTGTGTAAGAAAGAAAAATAGACCCCTTCTTATATTATGTGTTCATTTTAAAGTCTTACTCTAGGCCAGAAAAAAGATACCCAACTAATAGAATATTTTACAACTTATTCTTGAAAAACAGGCCTGACATAGTAATATTGTGATCTCATTACTTACTTTCCACAGGAAAAAAATGTAAATATACAATCAGCTGGATAAGCTTTTATTTTGTGGTACTAGGAATTAAACCCAGGGGTTCATGCATGTTAATAAGCAAATGCACTATCTCTGAGCTACATCCCTAGATCCTTTTAAATTTTATTTTGAAGCAGGGTCTTGCTAAGTTGGCCAGACTGGCTTAAACTTATAATCCTCCTACCTCAGTCTTCTAAGAAGCTGATACTACTTAGATTTTTTTTATTATAAGAAATTTTTAGTTTAAGATAAAACAAAAGACTAAGAACATCAAAGAAATACAGTTAATTCATAGATGGACCAACAGAAATTATGTAAACTGAAGCACAAAGAAAAAATAGAATAAAAAATAAAGCCTTACAGATATAAAGGGCAGTATCAAATTAATATCATATATAATAATTAGACTCTCAGGTCAGAAAGAAGCAAAAGGAATCTTTGAAGACACATGACAGATAATTTCTTAAAACTGATGAAAGTCATCAACTTATAACTACAGAACTCGATCAAGATAAATATAAAGAAAAGTAAACATAGGTACATCATGGTCAAACTGAAAAAAAAAATGGGGGAACGAAAACAAAACAAAGCAAATGCCCTCCAGGGTATGCCCTCCAGGCAATCAGAAAGAGGTTCCAGTTCCAAGTAAGATGTAGGTACATTCTATCTTGTCTTTTCCACTAAATGCAGGTATAAAACCTAGACAAAATGCATGGAGCAGATACCTAAGCAATCTGAAGGACAAAAAGTCACAGTAATCTAAAAGATAAAAAAGTCTTGTGTCCCATAGACTCAAAGTTGCCCAAAACTTGGAAGGGCATGGCAGGGACACAGTGAACCTCTGAAGAAGCCCTTCTAGTTCAAGTTCAGGAAGTTACATGGAAACGGCTTCCTGGCAAGAATACAGGTGGCAATAGTGTTTATAGGCACCTACAACTGTAAGAGGAAACCTCCCTTCCCAGCTGGAAATAATGGAAAAAACAGTAATGGCAAAACTTTTAGAGATGAGCACCCAAACGGCAAAGCAAAACCCACTTATTTATCACAAAGTGCTAACAATGCAATTCAATTTGAATTCTGATGTTTTAGTTTATTTTGTGTGTGTGTGTTTGTTTTTCTTCTGGTACCAGGAACCGAACTCACGACCTTGCGCTTGCCAGGCAGGTGCTTTGCCACTAAGCTAAATCCCCAGCTCCTGACGTTTTAATTTAGAAAAAACTATGGGCACCACTGCCATATAGCATGTGATCCAAAAAATTGTTCAGATCTTTGTTGTTTGTTTTCACTGTCTTCTTGCTACCTTGTGTTGGATGCTGGTATAGTTATGAGACCTGTACAGCAGAGTGGAGGTACATATATGTGTACCTTTCACTTTCTAATCAGAAAGTGAATTTCTAATTATTATATATGATATTAATTTGATACTGCCCTTTATATCTGTAAGGCTTTATTTTTTATTCTATTTTTTCTTTGTGCTTCAGTTTACATAAGTTGTTTAGGAACTCCTGGGCTTACCCTTCAACTCTATCTATGTGGCTCTGATTCCAAATAATACACTGATGACTTTGAGATCTGAGGGAAAATAACAAAGCCCAGGGAGAGACTTGGCTAACAGTGCAATGGCTTTGAAATGAAATGGACATTGAAAACAATGGAATTATGGGCTGAATCCAGCCAGGTTTAATGCTTGCCCAAACAATGTCATCATTTTCCCTTAGTTTTAGATAAGATGCAGAGTCTCATAATAAAATATTCACAATATTCAGATTACAATCCAAAATTACTCAGTATTCAAAGAACCAGAAAAATTTCAACTCACAAAAGGGAAAAACAACCAACAAAGTTGAGATGACACAGATATTAGAATTACCTGACAAGAACTGGAACGTAGCCATTATAAAAGTGCTCTTAAATAAAAGTGAACTCTTAATAAAAGTAAGCACTGTAGAAATGAAACAAAGCCTCAGCAAAGTGATCACAGATATAAATGACTAAAACTAGATGGTGAGAAAAGAAGGAAAAAATGGAAACAAAGATTTTGTACATGGGACGGGAGGGGGGTCGGAGGGAGGGTAGGAGAATGGGAAAAACAATCAAGTTATATCATGTACAGGTACAAATTCTCTATGGTTTGTTTGTTTGTTTTTTTGAGACAGGGTCTCACTATGCAGTTCAAGGTGGCTCTGAACTCACTGTGTAGCCCACGCTGGCCTTGAACTCATGGCTGTCCTCCTGCCTCAGCCTCGTGAGCGCTGGATTACAGGCATGTGCCACCATGCCTGGCTCCAAATTCTCTATGATGAATATAATCATTATGTATATCTAAAATGTACCAATAAAATCTGATTAAAGAAAAAATAACTAAATAAATAAAACTAATGGATAGGCATGATAGAATGTGAGTCAGTGAACAGATTAATACAAATTATGCAATCTGAGCCGGGCATGGTGGCTCACGCCTGTAATCCCAGCACTTGGGAGGCTGAGGCAGGAGGATCATTGGGAGTTCAAGACCAGCCTGGGCTACAAAGTGAGCTCAGGGCCAGCCTGAACTGCATAGCAAGACCTTGTCTCAAAAAGACAAAAAATAAAATAAAATAAAAAGCAATTATGCAATCTGAACTGAGAGAACAAGGGTTTAAAATATGAATAAAGGGCTGGGGATGTAGCTCAGCAGTATGGTGCCTGCCTGGCAAGCACAAGGTCCTGAGTTCGATTCCTGATATACCTAAATAAATAAAATAAAATATGAATAGAAAGCTGGGTGTGGTGGTGCACACCTGCAATCCCAGCATTCAAGAAGCTGAGGCAGGAGAATTGCCAGGAGTTCATGGCTAGCCTGAACTACATAGTGAGACTCTGTCTCAAACAAACAAACAAAAAAAAAAGAACATGAATAGAATCTCAGGAATCTGTGGGAATATACCAAAAGGTTTAACAGTTCTATCATTGCAGTCCTACGAGGAGACAGAATTAAGTGCAGAAAAGTATTTTAAGAAATGATAGTTGGGGCTGGGGATTTAGCTCAGTGGCAAAAGCGCCTGCCTGGCAAGCACAAGGTCATGAGTTCGGTTCCTGGTACCGGAGAAAAACCGGAAAAAAAAAAAAAAAAGAAATGATAGTTGAACTCTGCCCAAATTTGATAAGGGACATAAACGTATAAATTTACAATGATTAGTAAACACCAAATAGGGTAATAAACCCTAAAACATCTGTACACAGACACATTATGATTCTAATACTGAAAAAAAAAGACAAATTAATTGAAAGTGGCCAGAAAAAAGTGTTGCATTGCTTAAGGGATATGGATGATGGCAGATGTCTTTTTAAATTACAGAAGACAGAAGGAAGTGGACATTTTAAAGTGCTATAAGAACTAAAATGCAGAATTATATACTGTTTTAGTCTGGCTTCACTGAAACTCATGTTGAGGCTTGGTCCCCAAAGTGGTAGTATTAAGAGACAGTGAAGTTTTTAAGAAACTTTGAGCTAGCAGGGTGGCACATACCTGAAATCTCAGTTACCTAGGAGGCTGTAGCAGAAGGATCACAAGTTTAAGGCCAGTCCAGGTAACTCAACCAGAGCCTGCCTCAAAAATAAATTAATTAGCCAGGCACGGTGGCTCATGCCTGTAATCCCAGCACACGGGAGGCTGAGAGGGGAAAATTGTTGCAAGTTTGAGGCCAGACTCAGCTACAAAGTGAGTTCAAGGCCAGCCTGAACTGCATAGTGAAACCCTGTCTCAAAAAGAAAAAAAAAAATTAATAAAAATAAATAAATAAATAATTTTATAAGGTCTGGCAATGTAGCTTAGTGGTACAGCACTTGCCCAGGATGTGCAAGGCCCTGGGTTCAATCCCCAGTAGTGGAAAAACAAACAGGCACCATGTCATACAGATTTGCCTTCATGAAGGGATCTCACAGAGGGATTAATGCTATCTCATAGGAATGAATTTGAGTTCCTTCTCTCATGGGACCAGATTGATTGGTTACTACCACAAAAGTGGTTTATTACCAAAGCAGGGCTGTCCCTTGTGTTTTGTCTCTTCTGTACATACCCCCTCACTTCTAACTTCTGCTATGTTAAGGAAGCAGTAGCAAGCTATTGTGATGGGGTTACTCAATCTTGGACTTCCTAGCTTTAGGGACCATGAGCCAAAACCCTTCTTCTTTATAAATTACTCAGTCTCAGCTATTCCATGATAGCAACAGGAAATAAAGTAAGACATATCAAGTAATAATGTCCTAATGGTAAAATAAACACATTCTTAGATAAAATTAAAAGCCAGTAAACCTTGCTTAAGAAGCTCTTTAGGCCAAAGAGTTCACAAAAGAAATCTTCAAACATCAAAAATTCATGAAGAACAATATCCAAGCAAATATAAATGACTTATCTTTTTCGTTTTAAATTCTTTAAATTAAGTTTGCCAGGGATATAGCTCAGCAGCACAGGGCCTGCCTGGCAAGCATGAGGTCCTGAGTTTAAGTCCTGGTGCCAAAAAAAAAA